CCAGACAGTCTCCATCAGCCAGGTTGACCCTGCAGATGGGACAGGTGGGGTTGTCCTGTCGGGAGGAGCAGAGGTCAGAGTTCATATGCTACAAACGCTGTGTTTTGATGAACATTTAGCCGAGTCGGACTTTCCCTGGACGCTAATTGAGTCTATTTCTGAATTTTGTTTTATTTTTTATGGGTTAAGACAGACAGACACTCGGAGGCAGAATCTGTGAACTCTGACCTTCAGCCACCGGTCGATGCACTGGACGTGGTAGTCGTGGAAACAGGGCAGCATCCTGAGCTTCTCCCCGCCGGCGTAGTCACAGAAACAGATCTGGCACCTGTGGAGCGGCAGAGGTCAGAGACGGACACCTCAGCGGCCGGACGCTGGACCTGGACCTGGACCGGACCCGGACCAGACCCGGTCCGGTCCAGCGTGGTCCGGTCCGGCTGCTGGACTCACTGGGTGTTCCCGGGACCGCTGGCAGGCTGGAATGTTTTGGTGGGAAACCTCTGGATCTCCCTGCGGGTCAGTTTCTTGGACACGACGGCACCCTGACGCTCCTCGAATTCCAGAAGAGCCTGAAAGACGAAGGGAGTCAGCAGCTGTGAGGAGGGGCTCCTGCCCTTCCTCCTCCTCCTTCTCCTCCTCCTCCCCATCCTCCTCCTCACCTCGTAGTCGTTTCCCTGAAAGTCGTCTGATAGGTCGGGCGGTCCGTTCCTCCTCCGGCTCCGCCCGCGCCGCCTGTGCCGACCGATGGCGTCTGTGAAAAAAGGCAGAAGCTGCTTCAGCCAAAGCGAACCAGAGTCCTCCGTCCAGCCGGGGCTCTCCGGGTCCTACCGTCTTCCATGGCCGCCAGAGGAGACACGGCCGCCAGGACCTGAGACATCCAGCTGGTCTCCATGTAGGGATGAAGCTGCAGGCACAGAGCCACACGAGTGAGAAACAGAGCGCTGATGATCACACAGAGACCTACGTTTGCGCTTTAAGACCCTGAAAACGAGCATTTAGTCATTTCTGCTATCAGGATCTGTACAGATGGGCAGTGGACTGGTGCTTCAGCTGGAAAAACAGCCAATTAGAATAAAGAAGCAGATGCAGTGGAAGATTTAGGTCAGGTATTTAGGGTGAGTTGTTCAGGTTAGGTTTTGGGGTCCGTCTCACCCTGTGGTAGCTCTGCTGCCCCAGCTGGTGGTGATGGTGGTAATGATGGTGCTGGTGTCCGCTTACCGACTCCTCTCGGTCAAACTGAGCCTGCAGGGAGAAACACAGATGCTGGCTTTACCCGTACAGGTGTGTGGGGCTGCTGGCCTCAGGTGAGACCCGTGTGTGTGGGTCTGCTGCCCTCTACCTGCAGGCTGCGGGCCATGGCCTCGTCCTCCTCCTGCTGTAACGAGCGAACGACAGCCTCCTCATCGTCGCTAATGACGATCTGCTCCACACCCGCTGAGGAACAAACAGCCAGTCAGAGCTCAGACTCCAAAAATGAGAACGAGGGCGCATATTCAGGTGCGGTTGATGTCTGACCAGACGTGGCGTCTCCTTGCTCCCCGTTCAGCCACCTCCTCTCCTCCTCTGTGAGGAAGGACAGAGATTCTGAGCCCGGCTCGGCGGCAGCAGAGGGAGACGCTGATGTCTGGATCTGTTTCAGCCGGAGGACTGAGGCAGGCTTGAGGTAGGAGGCAGATGAGGAGGAGGAGGAGGAGGAAGAGCAGGGCGATTCCAGCAAAGAGCCCAGAGAAAAGCCTCCCAGTGAGGAGGCCGGAACAAAGCCGCTCTGCTCGGCCAATCGCCTGCGCTTGCACCCGTGTGAGAAACTTCGCGGGCTGCCGGCAGGTTTTTCCAGCTCTGGGGAGCCGGCCGCGACCACCTGAGGAGCACAGACACACGATGACTCCACGACCACAGCCGTGGTCGTTCGACGCCGGCAGTGAGGCGGCGCAGAGACTCACAGGGCTGCGGCGCTCCTCTCTGGTCAGACAACGTCTCCTCCGTTTGCCCAGCTGAGGGCTGAAACGCAGACACAGTTTGGTCGGATACACAGTCACTAATGTCTGTATGTTACAGGGACGTTAGGCCTGGAAGTTTAGACAAACCTCATGGAAATCCCCTAACTTTTTAATGAGCTTAAAAGTGAAACAAAACAAAACGACCAACGCTTTAAACACACCATGTTTACACACACCAACCTTTAAAAGGTGGAGATAAGCACAGCAATTACAAAGTGAAACCACTTTCAAAAGATAAAATGATCTTCTTTACAATATGAGATCAGATTTTTTTTTCTTTTGACAATCCTCCTGGATGCACAGGGACATTTGACCATGTTTCAATAAATTACAGGAACCAAATTCCATTGTTACTTGAAATACGCAAAGAATTGAGAGGTGTCGTTCAGCTAGCTTATCCTGTAAATATTGTATTGAACTTAGATATATATGTATATATATGTATATATATATATATATATATATATGTATATATATATCTGTAAATACAAAGGCTCCCTATCCGACTCGATGTCTGTTTCGTAAACTTTCTCTGTTCTTGTTGATATCATTGAGTGCAAACCCAGTGAAATGAATGAATCTGGTACCTGGGGGTTTCTGGGACAATGATGGAGAGATTAGGGTAATGGACGTCGCCAGGTTCGAGGAGGCATCCTCGGTTCAGACCTCCAGGACTGTCAGGCTCAGACGAACAGGGGCTGGCTGTGAGCCTCTCAGCCGTGGGTTCAGACGAACAGGGGCTGGCTGAGAGCCTCTTAGCCATGGGTTCAGGCGAACTGGGGCTGGCTGTGAGCCTCTCGGCCATGGTTTCCTCCACCCACGATGCACATCTGCTCCCTGAACGTCCAATCACCTGAGACTCAAGCTCATGTCAACATGATCATGAGAGCAGCTCACCTAAAACACAGAAAGTAAGCTAACTTAAGCTAACTGGGTTACAGATAACCAGATAACCAGATACCCAGATAACATGTTTAGTTTCCATCAAAAGGTTCCAAATAGGACAATTTTACTCCGCCGTCCAGAACAGAGCCAGCCCGCTGTTTCCAGCCCGGCTTCATTTGTTAGCTCAAAGAAACCGCTGATGACTGGCGGGTTCTACAAAGAACCCGGCAGGGAAAATACTTTAAGTCAATTAAACTTAACTTCTTTTAACCAGTATGATACCAAAAACAAAAGTTAACAACTTTACCTGGATGTTGTGTTGTTTATTTTTTGGATAGTTGACGAACACGAAAGAAAAAGCAGTTGATGCCTCAACAGGAAGTGACGTCAAAATTTTAGAAATACATCACTTCCGGTGTCCGCCGTAAAAGAAGGCCCCCAATCGTCCTCTTCTGATTTAATTTAATTTCTTATTAACTTTTTATATTAAAAAACACAAAACACTTTAATCCCTACAATATTCTTTATGCAAGAGAATACATTTTTTTCAAATAGATATGCATTTATTTTTTTAAACTACGCGAAATGAAGTGACCTTTATTATTTCTAAGTCTTTTTTGCTCCCACTAACAAATCAATGACAACACAAAACTGAAAAGTATTATTTATTGAGCTCACTTCAAACAGCGTGACGAACAAAGCAGCGTGAACTCTATATCTTCGCCGAAATGAACGTATAATACTAATATATTACTAATAATTACTATGACAAAGTGAACAAACAAATGTGAATAAAAAAATAAACATTCCTCATAAAACATCTAGGAAAAGTGAATTTTTGGCAGGCTAGAACAGCATGGACTGCAGTGACTTGCGGACGGTGGCCATCTCTTGCTGTTGCTATGGAAACAAACAAGAGAGTGGCATCATAAGAAGGAAAAGTCAGGACTGCGCCTCATCAGAACCATGATTATTTATCAGCTATTCACCACAGAGACGTTTTTTCTCAGCTTTTGATGTGTTTTCAGATGCTTTAATAACTCAACTTCTGTTCCCAGCTAACAACAAATCTTCTAATAATTCAATGTTTTCTAACACCAAGCTCACCGTGTCCATGAGGATCTTCTTCTGCAGGGTGGCCATCTCCTTCCTCAGCTCTTGTTGCGCTCCCTGCAGGAAGGTCTCGTGGCTCTTCTCCATGTCTTCCATGTTCTGGAGGAAACATTTGGAGACCCAGGTGACGCCCACAGCACAAACACCAGCTGCACCACACGTTACAGGTCAAAGGATAAGGAACAGAACACGCTGAAACCGATGGTTAAAGGCCACACCTTCACAAACTGCTCGTAAAGCTCTCTGACGGTTTTCAGCTTCTGGTTCTGAACAACTCGGGCCTGCTGCAGGACTTTCTGCTGCTGCCGGAAAAGATTCTGTGAACGGCAAAAGCAAAATGAGGCACAGACACAGATTACATCTGGGACCTTATGAGCAATTCAACGTCGAATTCCTAAATATCTCAATATTCCCATGTTTGAATACCCTGCGTTAAATTTTGTCTATGCTGCAACACAAGGAAACAATGTTCTGTTGCTCTGAGCTGTAGTGAATCAGCCCCGCTGGCCACTGAAGCTGAGGTTGTACAATCTGTTCTAACCCAACAACCAGCAAGGTGAACTAACGTTGAGCTTCTCCTCCTGCTCCTCTGCTCGCTGGGCTTCGATCTCCCACTGCTGCAGCGCAGATGACACCTGCTGCGAGTACTGCTGACTCATCTTCTTCCTGCACACACAGTCAGCAGAAACTCACAAATGCAATCGACTTAAATTTCAGCTCTGCTAAATTTGAGCAAAGTAACTATTTTCAGCTCATGCACTGACTAGAATGACTTTCTGACCTCATACGGTCATTTTGTTATTCAACCTTTTAACACTTTAAAGGCCGATTTTTAAAAAATAGAGGGAAAACTCTAATTTTTAAAAAAAGTTTTTATTTGGCCCTTTTACGAAATTTGAAAACATAAACAAAGATAATTTTAGATTATTCATCATTTATTACAATATGACTATCTAACAAGCATATGAAAGTGATGGAAAAGTGCTTTTCTTTCACAACTAAAAGCATTAACTGAATATGTCGGTATATATTTATAGCAAATACCACAACCCCCCAAATCCCAGAAGTCGGACCCATGAATATTTGGCTGCCTGAGACTGCTCTGAAAAAACTTTCTCTGAGTTAGAGAAGAAGGACAAACCTCTGTCCGTGGTAGTTGTGCCACAGCTGCTCCAGTTTGTGTTGGCTGCCCTTCATGTAATTCTTTGTGAGACACTCCAGGCGTTTCTTCTTGGCCTGCATCACCTTGCTAATATCAGCTGGAACCACAAGAGAAACAGCACTGCTTTTATGTTCTGTTCATCCTAATAACAAGCTGTAAACCAAGAATAAAACCATTAATAGGGCAAACCACTTACCCCCAAATCTTTCCAACATAGACTGCACCTCATTTCTGAATGGAACAGAAACATTAGTCAGATTTAACTAAATTAGCTGTGTACATTGCCATAGTATTGGTATGTATACATGAAGATTTTTTGTCACATATTAATGACCGGTTTATATAATGGTGTTATATTGGGATCTAAGCAATTACAGGAGGAATATTTAACTATTTTAGTTATTCTGTATAAATCAAATGCACGTAGAGGAAACAGACTGTACCCAACACCAGTCACTCCATCCTCTCCCAAGTCAGCAGCAGATCTCTTTTTTGCCACCTTTTCCACAATTGGAGTTTCATCTTTGGATAATAAGTCACATTAAATAAAAGGTTAGTCTGAAGGCCAAAGCTGCTGTACTAGCGAAGGCTAAAAGGAACTCGTACCTTCTCTGATTTCATCTTCTGAACCACTGAACTCTTTTTTTTCGTCTTCTTGATTAAAATCAAAAACATTTTTTTTCTCAGGTTTATCCTCCATAAGTTTTTTCTTCATCTGTTTTCTTCCTGTTGCCATTTTGAATCCTGTTTTATGAGTAGATTTTCAGTTAGCTAGCGCAGCTAATACTCAGGAAAAACTATTGCTTATTTCAACTTAAGACGATTAAAACAACATTTAAAGGGAAAATGTTTTGGCCTAAAGCGAGTAAACTGAGACAACTCACAGTCGATAAAGTTTTACGATCAGACAGACCTCTTCTCTGACTTCTGGCTGAACTTTGGGAGCGGACTCTTGAATTAAAACTACGAAATTTATCTCAATTGAGCTAACAGGGTAACTAGCTTAAACACGACGTTTTCCCGCCTTTACAGGTGTACAGTTGAGTTTGGTCTCCCTCTTAACAAAGAACTGTTTAAACCGCCTCACAAACCTCAAAACTAAACTTGCTTAAACGTACTTTTAAAAACACGCTGGAAAGACGTTATTACTATAGAATATCATCAAATTAAATTACTTATTTCTTAATATCGAATCATATAAAGGTTATATTTATGTTTTAAAAAGACTAAATAGAATTGCTGTTATAAACCTATGCATCGAGTTAATCTTTTTAATATTAAGTGAATATCTTAAAAATAATGTAAAATCTGTTTAACTCTGGGGTTAAACACTTCAGGATATAATCGTATGGTTCTTATCAGGTCTTAAAATGACTGATGGCTTGTTTACCTATGTGAAAAAAATTGAGCACACAGACTTACAAACTAAACCCCCATCCACCTTATTTACTGTTGGAGTTTCATTTTTTTTTTTTTAATCGAAGGGGCCCTCTCCCGCAGCCCAAAAAAGCAATTGTTTTTCTAAATCGTGCACATTTAGAAATACTAAATGTGAAGCAGGTCCAGCTTACACATATAGGCATCATCACCACACTGCTGGGAGGTTATGGGTGGGGTTAAACCCACCTGACATCACATGATATCCATTAAAGGGAAAGAGACAAAAAACATTTAATAACTTTTACTGAGTATAAAGTGCAGATGAATGTTGAGATGGAGATCTTATGTTCAAAATTGTATTTATATATTAGTACAAGAGGAAAATACAAATACCTGCTTTTAAAGTTGTGTATGTTGTAATAAAAATAAGTTTCCACATTAAGAAAAAACTAAATTAAATCAACACTTTGTGGCAAAAATAAAATAAAAATGCGACAGGCGACTTCGGTCCAAAAGAGGCCGTAGATGAAGCAGATGGAGGGGGGGATGATTTTCTGCCCTTATCTTCCATCTGTGGTCCACAAACATCAGCAAAAACATGTGGACGGTCTCATTTCCCAGCCACCACAGACAGCTGGTCTCTGATGCGTCCCAGTCCATCCAGCATGGTGTCCAGAGACTCCCGGCTCAGCTCCACGGTCACCGTGGACCCGGACTCCCCCTCAGCCGACGGATCCTCCAGCTGAAAACACCTCACGCATCAGCTCGTTCTGCCGCATCAGAAACCCCAAATGAAACCGACGGGCTGTGAGGAACCAGCTCACCTTCAGCTGAACCAGGCAGGTCGGCACCGCCATCCGACTGACCGAGTCCGAGCCGGTCACCACGTCCACTCTCCAGTCCAAGTCCTTCAGCTGAGGCAGAGAGACTGCACACACACACACACACACACACACACACACACACACACACATCAGGCTGTGCTGCCCCGTTTCCAGCTGTCCCTCCCAGCCCACCCACGCCTCCTGAGACCAAAACCAGCTTCTTTTTTTTGCTTTCAATCACAAAATTGGTTTAGAAAAAAAATAGGATACAAATTTGGCAAGATTTGCGACCCCAAGCAGTTCTGCTTTGCCCAGCTAAGCGACTTCCATTTTCTGATGGTGGTTAGTGATTTTTTATATGAAATATACTCACTCTGATGGCTGAGGGCCTCGGTCCTCCAGGCGGGGCTGTAAAACAGCAGAGGAAGACTTCATGATGTCATTATGGCTCGTCGTTACATCACACTGCATTAACCATAACTTAAGAAACTGATTCCGATTTTTTTTCTTCTGTTTTTTCAAAGGGATAGGAACATAAATGCAGCCTTTAAAACTAAAACGTCCCATTTTCCTTCAATAATATGAATACAGATGAATTAACCACAGGAAGTGCATTTATCATGAGCTGATCCTTTTTAAGCCCTTCTTTTACCAAAATCTGTCCTTGCTTGATGTTTTAAAATTAAGGCTTGGTTTAAGCTTCTTTTTGTTCATTTGGACCTGAACCCGTTTCTGTGGCGCCGACCTGTTCTCCAGCAGGATCTTGGTGATCAGGTTCTTCAGGCTGGAGTGGAAGGACTCGGGGAAGATGGCAAGGATCTGCTCGGGGGTGCTGAGGTTGTGGAAGAGGACATGCCGGGACAGAGTATGAAGAGACTGGACCAGCTGGGGGGACACAGGGGAGAACAGTTCAAAACTGCTTCCTGTCCCACATTAGGTTTTCTTTAGGTCATATTGTAGCTATCGCTCATTATTATGTTTTTGTGTCAATAAAACTTGAATTCAGATGATAATAAATGTTTATATTGTGATGAATGAGATTCAAAATGAGCTCATTGCAGTTCCCCTGATGAAGAGATCTTATAAATAGAGATTCCCACCATGTAAATAGATCTAGAAGGGATCTATGATCCCTGAGGGTTCTGGTTCTGACCCGGGACCTCCTCCCAGCCTGACTAACCTCCAAAGGGAGGAAGCAGGAGCATCCTAACCAGTACCCCCCCCTTAGTGACTCCTCTGAACAGCCTGGGGGCCAGAACCCTCATTACTGCAGACCAAGCTCCAATCTGTGAGTCCACCTCTGAGAACCAGATCCAGAGAGGCTGGAACTCAGCTTTAACCGAAACTTTGATCATTATATCACTGAAACCAGTTTTCTCTCTCCACGACTGAAGCCGGAGTCCTCAGAGTGACTGACCAGGTGAGTGGGGAGCGTGTGGGGCTCACCTGAGCAGCCTGGGCTGCAGGGATGCTGAAGGCCGCCGCGGTGCTCTCAGTCAGCCGGAGACATGGACCCCTGTGACTCTGAACGCAAACGTCTCTCACGGCGTCTTTCGACGGAGCCTCCGGACACAAGAACAACCGGAAGTAAACAACAGCAAACAGGTAAACGGCAGCCGGTCCGAACAGGTAAAGACAGGAAGGCTACAGTCATAAAACTCAGCTAAAAAATTGTGAACAGATGTGTTTTCACTGCTTAGTTTGGATGGAATCTGCAGATATGCGACAACTAAACTAATTCTGGAGGAAAATGTGACATATTTTGGTCAACAGCTGTTATACAATTGAACAGTTTGACTTAAAAATAAAATAACTTCATTTGTAATCCAATAAAACACTATTTTATTCAAACGACTGCTTTAAACAACAGAGTGCAAACTGAGTGAGAAACGTCCCATTAAAGCTCTGCTGACTGACATTTAACAGCTTTTATAACAAAAAGCAGCCAGAGGCAACACGCAGATGACGTTTTAGTCGGAAACGTATTTGTTACAGCTCAGTACCTTCAGAAGAAGCTGTAAATTGGTGAAGTCTTCGTTCGAGATTGAGGCAGCCATGTTCACGAGACTGAGGGGTCATGTGACACTATGACGCCGCTACGCCTGATGGGAAATGAAGTACTGTTCATAAACACGACTGTGTTGGAATAAGTCCTGATAACTTTTTAAAGAGTCAGTAATGCTCCCTCATTTAAAACTTAGTTTAAAAAAAAAACATCTTTTATAAACTGATGATTTTAAAAGAGCTGTCTCTGTTAGTCGCTTTGGATAAAAGCATCTGCAAAATGCATAAACAGGTTTTAAAAGTGTTCAAATATAAAATGTAAAAAATGACTAAAGATGCTCACAAATGTCCCTTTTCTAAAATAACTCAAAAACAATAGAAGAAATATCTTTATTTTATATATTAAGTCTCATAACAGAAATAAAAATGAATAACATCAAATCTGAATTTCTGGGACCATGCAAAGTAAACCAGGAAGAGGAAACAAATATGGGAACAAAACTATGATCAACAAAGAAAGACTATAGCAAAAAAAGCACAAGACAGGAAATACTAGAGGAACAAGACTTTTTTTTCATCCACAAAATAACCACAGCTCATGACATATAAGTCTGTGGTCACACATCAATATTTGAGCCTCTGATCCAAACTAGAGTCCAGAGAACTCAGAGTTCTGCTGGTTTTCCTCCAGAATGAGGTTTCATTTCCTGGAAATGAGCTCTGTTCCAGCATACAGAAATGAAGGAAACTTTGTGCTGATGTGCTGAAAGCAGTCGACTAAAAGCTGGAACTCAGAGCTGTGGATCATTTTAGACTTCCTGCTTTAGAAAACAGCCACTTTGAGCTGGAGGACAACAGCTGGACTGTTTGCTGCCATTCAAAGCCCTGAAATGCTTCAGATCAGCATCCTGATCAGCTCTGACAGCAGCAGGTTTTCCATCCAGCTGTGAGCCTCTGATCAGAACCAGAGAGGAAACAGCTCACACTTTCTGCCGTTTTCCTCCAAAATCAGCTGATTAAATCTGTGGAAACATGTGTTCATGCTAGAAACAGCTTCACTAAAGAGTAAAAACTCAAACATTTAATACTTTTTGCTTTACAAGCAATCAAACAGACCTAAGAGGCAGGAAATGGGAGGATGAAATGAGGATTCAGAGATCACAACAAAAACGTAGTTGGATGTGGCGGTGGGGGGCTGCAGGCCCCCCAGCGGGAGGTGGGAGCACCTGAGGCGGGAGGCAGGCTGTCTGCACCCGGCAGCAGCTCCGCTGATCTCCGCCGCTAGAGGCGTCGAAGATGTCCGTCTCCGGCATGAAGAAGCAGCTCCACAAAGCCAGCCAGGTAAGCGGGCCGAGCCGTGCAGGACCGGGCGGAAACGGCGTTCCTCCTGTGCAGGGATGGGTCCAAACTCAGGGTGTATTTCTGGGTGGATGGATGGCGGGATCGGAGGCTGCGATGCGAAACGAGGCCTGCTCATGATCCCGGTCAGTCCATCAGATCCGGGCGGAAAACAAAGCGGATGTCTCATCCTTTACTTACATTTTGGGATTTTTTTCTGGTGTAAAGGTTCCTAGTCAAGAATCTCTAGAATTTGACTCATGATGTTGCACTGAGGAATCGTAACTTTGACCCGAGCAAAGCCAAAGGCGACAGATGACAGTAATCCACCCGTGAAGTGATATCAAGCCTCTCGACCCTCATATGAGAGCTATTTTGAGGTGTTTTTGTTATTTTTCTTTGTTATTTTTTTTGTTTAATTCAAATAGTTATTTCTCAGATAGACACCCAGATTCGATGTTTGGATGCTTTTTCTGTGACATAATCTCTTATATAATAAACTTTAGACTCACATCTGCTCAGTGGAGCTGCCCAAACTGAGGACACAAACCAGAAAGGACCTTCTCAGCTCTCACAGGCGATAACTCGTTGTTTCTCCTCTGTGTGAGCAGCTGCTGAACGAGAGGCTGATGGGAGCTGAGGGGACCAAGCTGGACGAGGATTTCCTGAAAATGGAAAAGGTGAAATTCCAGCTCATCGCAGGTGCTGAAAACCCACCTGAAAGATGAGCTGATTTCTTCCCGTTTGTCCCACAGAGCATGGCAGTGATCCACGCTCTGTTAGCCGAGCTGCTGTCCAAAACCACAGAGTTCCTCCAGCCCAACCCAGGTGCTTTTCTCTCATTTTAACCCTCATAATTCCCATTTACTGTCCCCATCCTCCCTCTCATGTCTGGTTTGGGGTTTCCTGCCTCTGCAGAATCTTTGGAAAAATTGTAGTTAGTTTTACTATTCGATGAAAATATGAGCTGATACTGAATCTGATGGGAGCAACATCTCTTTCACACCTGAAAGAGGGAATAATGCTAGAAAGGATTAGCAAGATGTTGAAACTGATTTGGTAAAGTGGAAATGGGTCAATGGAAAATAAAGCATCTCTGACCCTTGCAGGATGAAAGGCAGATGGTTCAGAGTGGGATTTGGGGTTTTTCTATTAATTTGTTGCTCATTTGTTAGTTGAAATATTGGAAAACATGTCTTAGAAGTGCTTCTGTATCAGCTGATGTGGTGATGAGTGAACAACTGTCCAGCCCACAGAGCCAGACTGAGCATGCTCAGCACCATGTCCAGGATCCGAGGGCAGGCCAGGGCGTCGGGCTACCCGCAGACAGAGGGCATGCTGGGAGACTGCATGCTGCTCTACAGCCAGGAGCTCGGACCCGCCTCAGAATTTGGTAAATGTGGGGTGGCGTGTTGTCCTCTTCATTCGCAGACGGTCATAGCCTCGTCTTTAGGGGTCAGATTAGGGGGAAGATGTTTACTCTCTGCTTTTGCTTTTGAGTTCCAGGGTTTTAGCTGATTTAGCCATTTTCACTTTTAGTGTTCTTACATTCAGGTCATTAACTCGAACTTGAACTCTCCTCGTCTTTTCTCTTCTTTGACATCTTTATCTGTTCTTTCTTTCATCATATTACTCGAACGTTTCAGGTGCTGAAGGAAAGCTGTTATCCAGGCTTTCACCCCATCCAAACATGCATGGAAACTATGTTTTTGCCAGTGCCAGAACTATGGAAACTTAGTTTTCAAACTTCAAACAAAAAGTCACAAAGTTTTGTGTATATATGTGTATATGTGTATTTTTTCTGTTTTTACTAAGAGCTGTGCATTTTGCCTCCTCTTTCAGAAAAAGAGACTTACCTCCCTGTAAGAGGGACAGCTTCTTCCAGTGGTTGAACAGTGATTTGTGCGTCCTCTAAGCAGTTGTCAGCATGTTTTCTGCATGTTGAACATTTCCACTGACTCGTTGGTCCTCTCCCTGGCCTCTCTGCCCAGGTGGCGCCCTGGCAGCAGTAGGCGGAGCTCTGCAGCAGGTCGGTCAGGCCAGAGACGCTCTGGACGTCAGCGTCAAACGCACCTTCATCGACCCCCTGCAGGACCTCCAAAACTCAGAGCTGAAGGAGATCAAGGTGCGTCTGAGTTTAAGGAAAATCTGTTTGCTGCTGATATGAGTCTTACGCAGATATTTCTTATATGTGTGGGTTGGAGCATCCATATCTTCTTTGTTATGAGCTGTAAATACATTTCTGATCCTTAAATAATATCTTTAACCATAAATTCCCAAATGGCAGACTGAAAGTGTCACCATTTCAGGAGCCAATCAGAGCAGCAGATTCAGTAAACTCAGAAGTGATGGAGCTCTCTCAGTGTTCAGAGAACAGATCCAACGCCTTTTTAAGAGTTTTCTGGGGAAATTGGAGGAGTTTTTCGGGGTTTGATGCTTGGTGTGCGTCTCCTTAGTTCCAGCTGAAGAAAGTGAACAGCCGCCGGCTGGACTTCGACTATAAGAGGAGACGAAGTGGGAAGGTCCCAGCAGAGGAGATGCGGCACGCCTGGGATAAGTTTATGACTTCCAAAGAACTGGCCGAGAGGAGCATGTTTGTCCTGCTGCAGAACGATGTGAGTCCAGCTCCGACTGTCCTCTGCACTCTTAAATCTCCTGCAGATTCCCTGAAAACTTTAATGATATTCTGATAAATACACAGATTCTGACCAGCTGTTCTTTTTTAGGGGGGGGCTTTGGGACTGAATCATGTGTTGTCCTGGTTATTTGCTCCTTTGCTTACACGTTTACTTTAGTTATTTTCTCAAGACGAGCTTTTTCTAAACCGGCGTTTGTCGAGTTTTCTGTTATTCATTTAGAAATAAATCACTCGCCTGTGTTCAGTTCCTGGATCCGCCTCATGGAGACATTTTTATTGTCTAACAATAAAGTTAAAGTTTCCTAATGTTTAATGCGTTTGACCTGTTTGTGACCTGCTCGTCGTCCTCATTTCTGAGAAGTCTGTCCGTTCACATCTAGTGAAAACTGGGATCTAACGTCTGCCGTGTGTGCTGCTGCAGGTGGATCAGATCAGCTTCCTGGCAGCTCTGGTCGCCGCCCTGCTCGACTTCCACCGCAGCGCCCATCGCGTCCTGGTTGGTCTCCACGGCAACCTGCAGGGCAGGTGAGCGGCTGATCATCAGCACTGTGGTTTAACTTAACGAGGGAAAACTAAACCGAACAGGCGAGTCAAAGCCTTCTTTTTTAAAACAAACTAAAAAAGGAACTCTGACCTGAAAGGCACCAACACAGTGAACTTGGTTCTGTTGCATCTGTTTTCTGCCCCTGATCGCTGGGTTTCACCTGGTGGTGAAATCAGAAGTCTGTTTGGGTCTAAATGTTGTGGTTCCTCAGGTTGACCGCAGCCAGTAACAAACCGGAGCGGAGGTTCAGATCCAAAAAGATCCGAATCAGAGGAGACCTCACAGAGAGCAGCGTTGGGTTTTACCAGCAGCCATCAGCCACACTGACTTCAGGTTGTTGACGGGAGCTGTTTAAATCTTTCATTTTAATGAGTTTTACCAGCAGTTTAAGATGCTAAATCTCTTTGTGTGTCTGCAGGACAGCAATTCACAGTGTTACAGTCCAGACCTGGCAGCCCCATCTCCACCTATGGTAATAAAACCACCTTTATCTCTGAGCGTTATCGTTCTGCCAGTCAACATGTTGAGGTCTGAATTCTTTGGATCTTTGGGGCAAAAAAAGAAATGTCTAAGACTTCAGGACTCACTTTGAATCAGAGGCGTTGATACAAATCTGATGTAGTTGTGGTCTTCTTTGGGAAAGGCTGTGATAAACTCAACTTTTTAACTTAATTATGAAATATAGATGAATTATTTATATGTATATATGAATAATATATCAAATAACTATCAGATAACCATTAGTAATAATAGATCATAGAAAAACAGCTACTTATGAAACAAAACTGAAAGTTTCCGCAGAAGAAGACGTCAAAAGGATAAATAAAACTTTTTGTGGCTTCCCTCATTATTCAACGTATTTCTGTCTCCCTCTTAGCTCACAGTCCGCTGACTCTGGATCAGCCCTGCTGCCGGGCCCTGTACTCTTTCCTGCCAAACCACGAGGGCGAGCTGGGCTTCAGCGAGGGCGACATCATCGTCCTCACCGGTCAGGCCGACGCCAACTGGTACGAGGGCGCGCTGGCGGGCCGCTCGGGGCTCCTCCCCGTCAGCTACGTGGACGTGCTGGTGCCTCTGCCCCTACAGTGACAGGCCGGCCCGGACTTCTTTTAACCTTATGCAAATTCTCAGCTTCTATTTTTGCACTTTATCACGAGCTGTGACAAAAAGGGAAGGAAGGCCATAGTTTCTGTTGCTGGGGACGCTTTCAGGACAATCCTCATCTTTTCCTTTTGAAGCCAACAGATGACGTGCAGAAACCCAAATTGTGTTAGTGTTAAACCAGACAGCTCCCAGACAGTTCCCAGTGGCTCCCAGAGGCTCCCAGCAGGGCCAGTCGTGTGCCTCTTCAGACCGTGAGCCTCTGTCCCAAGCAACTCAGGGTTTTTTCCACAGATTGTAAACAGATCAGAGGCAGAAAGGGAGAGGAAGTGTGGAATAACTACTGGAATAATCATGAGCAAACTCTTTTTTGTGGGCATGGTTTTGCCCAGAGGCTGAGCTCCTTTTGTTGCTGCTGGTCCTTCAGTTAGGTTGTTGTATTGGAGCCCTAATAAGCACAAAGAGTTACTGCATCTGTCCTCTGATTAAAAAACAGTTACTACTGAAGGAAAAACCAGCAATAGAAGGTGAACAAGAACACTGATTTGGAAATGCGAGGTTATTCAGGAGGTAAATTTTCACTCTGGGGCTGCAGATGTTAGGTCAGTCGTTCATTTAATGTCACCAACCAGTCAGAAATCAAACAGCTGCTCTTCTTCTGGCAAAAAACTGCAAAAAATTCCCCTGACGTCCTCAGTTTCTCCATTAGGTGCAAATAAACGGAACAAAGCATCAGGGACTGCAGATTCCCGTCGGTAATGGGTGAGAGCGCCAACAGAAGTCTGCTCTGTGGAGCATCAGGATGAAGTTGCTGCTGCGCAGAAAACTTCAGGAGAAACCTGCTGAAAAAGGCATCAATCAGAGGAAAAAAGGGAGAAGAAACTCTGCAGCCCGCAGCACTGAACTGTCCAATAAACCTTTAAAAACCTGCTTACCTGATCTATTCCAACCTGTGCGTCGTGCTTTTCTCTTTTACTTCTCATGTTCCAGTCTGTCCAAACCTTTTGGAGCCGCATTTTGAACCCACCTGGTTGGCTTTCATCATTCTTTTGAGACTAAAATCTTCTTTTATGTGATATGTAAATTATTCTTTATTCACATTTTAAAGCCCACCTTTTTCACTTTGGAGCCTAAAGGTTGAACAGGTGCACTTGGAAAGCTGATATAATCTACTGTAGTGAATGTCACGCTATAGAGCCTGTAGATGACACAGTAAACTGTGCTGTAGTGGGTTTGAATCTAGTGACGTAACAGGTTATAATGTGTCTGAGTTTCTTTAAATGATGTGTTCAGGTTTCATCTTTCAGACAGCCTGAATTGAAGCAGAGAAGAAGAAACTTTGTAATTCTTCTCATTCAGGGAAAGTCGGATCATTAGGAGGATCACTTCAGACCCCCTCCTACTTTCCCTCCCTGTCTAGCTGTTTTGTGAAAAGCCTTTTATTTAAACCTCATGTTAGAAATAGACCAACGGATGTGTAATGATGTTCATGGGGACTTTTAGTGTCTTAAAGCTCATTTTTCTCCTCTGACTCATGACACGAAACACTTACACAAACAGAATGTATTTCGGCAATAATTTCTTTGGTAATAAAAGCTCTCCTGTTTAATTTTTTGTGTTTCATTCTCCTTCTTTTGTTTAGATGACATAATTTGTCTTTAATCACATAATTTTGGATAAAATGTGAAACATCTTCAGTCCTAAAGAGGAAGTCCGGTCTCCCTGATAATTTTCACTGTCTTGAAGTCTCATTTGTAGTTTGACACAAGCTGTAGAAATAAAAAAAGGATAAAGAACTTGTTTGGATGATTTATAAACAGAATTCTACTTCACCCAAACGGATCTAAAAGCAGTGCTGATTTAGATTTACCATCGTTTTTATGGAAGTGGCTGCTCCCTCTAATTTAAATTCAGAGTAGAAGATAAGCATGGAAAATGGAAAGATCTATACAAGGAGTGAGTCGAATAAACGTGCAATTCACATTTCTGTTTGAAAATGTTAACGTCAATAAAAATTACTTGCTTTTTAGTCTAAAATAGTTTAACTATATATACCTAAATTGTCTGATTTTAAGCAGATAAGCTGATTCATTTGATTTTTAAATTAATATTTAAAGGCGTTTAATGGAAAACGGTAAACAAAAGAAAAATAACCTGTGTGCTTGTTGTTGTAGTTGCGTCTTCCGGCCATTTGGGGGCGGTGTCGCAGAAAAGCGTTCCGACCCCTGATTTCCGCCTGCTGATTTAAACTTCCACCGGAAGTCTGCTCGTCCTCTTCTACCAGGCCGATCCAACATGGTGGGTATATTTTCACGACTTTCTGTACTATCTGCACTAATCCTTTCGCTGTGAGGTCCTATAAGCTAATCTGAACCCACGCACGGAAAACGGTTCGTTTGGGGTTTCGTACACTGGTTTTATTTAGCCGGATAACGAAAGCGGAGCGGGTTATTGGCAGTTTTAGAGCGGCTGCTAACGGAACCGACGTCCCGCTGAATGAGCCGCGGGTTTCGGCCTTGATTTTAAACGTATAATAAATCAGACTTTGTAGAGGAACGCATTTGTTAGATGTTTATATAAAGTGTTTGTAAAAGCGGTGAATTTTAGCTTGAGGACGGCCTCCGGCTGTGAGCTTTGGGGGCTACAGCGGGAGGCAGCGCCGGTGGCCCCCGGGGGCTGCGCGCTTAGCGGCCGCCGTGGGGCCGTGGAGCCTCCGGATCAGGCGACACATGGAAGTAAACGTCAATCGTAAAATAATTTAACGTGCTTACATTAGCATGTGGCCCTGTCACAGCGCACGAGCACCGTGGGCAGCTTTAAAAGCATCCACCTGTATAATAACAAATGCTACCTTCATTTTAGCTTTTAACGTGGATCACAGCTGCTTTTTGAAAGGTATTTCACAAATAAAACTGTCAAAGTTACTGAACCTGTAGTCACAACTGGCATACAGTTCTAATTGTTTTAGGAAGTGGAATAGATTGGAGATAAGTCAATACCAGGGTATCCTTTGATGTTTTCAGGCAAGGTTTAATTTTCTTCAAACAGCAGTGCTATACTTCAAATTCCCACCTCTGGACCCATTTCCGTTTAGAATTAGTAAATGTGTTTAATAAAAACTTTCTGAAGTCTGTAACAAATGATGCTTCAGTCTTAGGTTTGATGTGTGGTTCAGCTGGTGAAATGGGCTTTAAATACAAACCCATATTCAGCCTGTTCCTTTAGTGCCTCCGTGGTTCAGGCGGGACCTTTGATCAGACACGGTGTCAGCGCTCCTATCCCCACCAGCGCGTCCTGTAAAGTCTGTTTTGTTCTGGGTCTGCAGGGACGAGTCAGGACCAAGACGGTGAAAAAGGCCGCCAGGGTCATCATCGAGAAATACTACACCCGACTGGGAAACGACTTCCACACCAACAAGAGGGTGTGTGAGGAGATCGCCATCATCCCGAGCAAGAAGCTCCGCAACAAGATCGCCGGGTGAGTCTACTAGGGATGTCCGGATCCAGCTTTTTGCATTTTCGATCCGATACCGGCTGATATCGATACCGGCCTATCAGAGCATGTATTAAAGTTTAGTTATTTAGCCTACTTACTTAGTCGTCAGACTCATGTTGAACAGGGATTTACTCTAATTACTCAATGTTTAGGACACAGACCTGTGGGTTGGGAGATGTTAATGTTCGTGTGGGGTCGTACTTAAAAAAAAAAAAAAAGGATTGGGAGTCTGGATCGGTATCTTCCACGCCGACCGATACGCATTTTTTGGTGCAAATATAGCCGAAAATCGGCTCGGGACAAGCCTAGAGTCTATGTGGGCTGAGGATGTGTGGCCCGGCTGGTAAAACCACAGAAGAAGAAGCTGAGCCTGTGAAAGCAGGCCAGGGTGCGTGAAGATTAGATCTGATCAGCCCCAGGAGCTACGTGCACTCTGCAGCCATTAACTGGCACATGGTGCACTGTTTTGGGAAGGGGGGCTCCAGACTGTCAGCTTTGGGCTGAACTGAAGCGTTCGGCTTGTTTCTGCTTCTCCTGCAGGTATGTGACACATTTGATGAAGAGGATCCAGAGGGGTCCAGTCAGAGGAATCTCCATCAAACTGCAGGAGGAGGAGAGGGAGAGGAGGGACAACTACGTCCCAGAGGTCAGTGAAGGCTTTACAGGACTGTGTGTTTTTATGGGGACCTGAGTTCTGTAACCGGCTAAATTTTTTTTTTTTTTTTTTTTTTAGAGGTTTTGGTCCAACTCTGAAACTATCTCATTATAAACCTTCTTTAAATACGGCTCAATAGCTTTATATCAGATACATTTAATCAGTTTGGGAGTTTGTATCCACACACAGAACTGGGGGATGTTGAGTCTCAACCAGCCTTCGTATCATATATAAATATATATATAGATTTGAATGTATGTGATTTGTTTGTGTCCATATTTCTTAGAAATGAGAATTCAGCTGTAAAATGTAGCTTATTTGTTCAAATTGGGCTTTTCCTTTAAACTGTCATTTAAAACTTGATACGGAATTCTGTATCATTTATTAATTCATGTGCATGATAAAGATCCATGTGATTTATCAGGATAAAAAATGTAAGTAATTGTCGGCACAACAGAACGAGTTCCTCTGGAGCTGAAATGCTTTGGTTAAAAACTGTAACCTCAGGCATCGGTTTTATGAGCCCCCAAAACAAGTCATTACGGACAGAATCCTCCACTTTAAAAAGCGTATTGCTTTGTCACTTGTTTTTGATGGAAAAACAGAGTTGGTCCATTTCGAGGTGGCTAATGTCGCACATGAGAAAAGCTGTGCTCCAGAGTTTTTGGGAGCCCGGCTCCCTTTAGCTCCACCGCCGGCCTCTGTCTCTGTTTTCCCGCCGCTGGCGTCTCCTGTATCGAAAGTGACCATGGTGTGTGTGTCGCCAGGTCATTGATAGTACAGGAACAGCAAGCTGGGGCCTTTTCCCGTGTTTGAAGGATCCTCCGTTCCTTTTGAACCCTGGTGCTCCCAGACATGTAGCGTCAGCCGCCCCTGCTCCCGCACCGTGGGGGGGGGGCACTTCCCCCACAGCTCTGGACTCAGCCCTGAGGACAGACGGGGTAGTTAACGGTTTCTCTCTCCCTGTGCAGGTGTCTGCTCTGGACCAGGAGCTGATTGAAGTGGATCCTGACACCAAGGAGATGCTGAAGCTGCTGGTGAGTCTGAGTCCAGAAAAGTCCCCCTTTGCCGTTTCCGGCTTCCAGCTTGGAAGTTGGCATTTCTCAGTAAGAAGCCGTTTGACCAGCTTTGTCAAACGGCTCCAACCTTTGCTTTGAATTCTGAAACTGATGGTTCTTTCCGTCTCTGGTGACTCGGTCCGGTTGAAGGAGAGTCTGGATGAAAGAGTAGAACCAAACCAGTGTTTGATGGTTTGTTCGTTAGCTGGATCTAACGGGGAAGAGGCTAGTCTGGGTTCCAGTTTTTAGGATTATGGGGGGAAATGCAGAGACAGGCTCCCAGATGCAACAGGACAAAGACAGCAGGTAGAAGCAGGTCTGCACTCGCCCAGAGCCAGAGGGGAAATGTGTGTTGTTTTTTTTGTTTTGTTAATGTCTGTTTGAAGACATGCAATGGCCAGTCGAGGCTCACACCCATAAGAAGGGAGGCCGGGTGGATATTACCTGGAGCTCTGTTCAGAACAGCAGAGAATCAGTATGGATAAAGGAAAATAATCTCCTTTTAAATGTCAGTGACCATCATCAGGTCCCTTTTTTGTCTGGGTGGAAGTGAATTTTTTCACTTTTTTTTTTATTGGTTTGATACCTTGTGTGTTCCTGTGTTGTAACAGTTTTTGTGGTGTTCCACCCATAAAAGTTCGGCTGGTACACAGATTGCTGCTGACGCCTGTTTGAGTAAATTTTTTCCATTTTCCTGGAGCTGCTTTGGTGGCTCAAACGAGCTTTTCTCTGTGCAGCCGTTTAGATCTCGTGATGTTTTTTCTCTCTAAATGAAGCCGACTTGTGTGTGAACGTCTGCTTTTAGTTGGACTGTTCCAACCTGTATCGAAAGGTGACGGCGGCGCTCCGTGGCCGTGGTCATTATTAATACAGGGAGATTAAATGAGAGCCTTTCCCGTGTTTGCTGGACTGTCGGTTCCTGTCAGACCCTGGTGCTCTCAGACACGTTCTGGCCCTGAGCTGGACCCCCCCGCGGGCCCAGAACTGGTCTCTGAGCCACGTCTCTGTCTCCCCGCAGGACTTCGGCAGTCTGTCCAACCTGCAGGTCACCCAGCCAACCGTCGGCATGAACTTCAAGCAGCCCCGAGGAGTCTAGACGTCTGTTAACTTTCTTCCTAATAAAAACCCTTTGGGACAAAAACCGTGCAGGATTGGTTTGTGGAGCGTTTGAGCTGGAAACCGGAATGAAGTTTTTCCTTCATTTAAAAACACGACAAAACTCTGAAGGCTTTAAATGGCCCAGGTAGAAAAGCCAAGAAAACATGCTGCTTTTCTTCATTTTGATTGGATGAATAATTATTAGATCAATCATTTCCTCTGATTTAAACCAGGTTTTAGAGACGTTGACATGGACCTTATTCTGTTATTTCCACTGTAAAAGCCTTTTTATACATTGTGAGCATCATGTTCTTTTTTTTATTGTCAGAATAAAAATATATATGAACTTTAAGGAACACTTACTTTCAAATTATTGGAAAAACTGGTGTATATAAACACTGAACCCTTCTGCTCCCTCCTGATTGGCCAGAGCCTGTGACATCACCGAGTTGTTTGGCCTCATTCACAGAAAAGTCGGCGATTAAAGCAAAACGTTTAATGCAGAACAAGAGTTGAACACTTTACATCAAATGTGTGTTTACATCTCAAACCCCCATGCTGCGATCTGATTGGCTCATAAGCACTTGAGCAGGAAGAAGTTGCAGAAGGCTCCTCGGGGGCAGTCGCACATCTTCCCGATGCGAGACCCCTTCCTGACGGCGCAGTGCTCCCCGAGGTCACACTGAACACGACAAGGAACAGAGAGGTCAAAGGTCACATCTGCAACACCATCAAAAAGTCCTTTTCCATTTTTACAGGAATCTGAATCTAATTCACAGATTCTTATCGGTTCTCCATCAGTTCTTCCTGAAGTCGGCTTTACTGTGGACACAACACTGGCTCATCGCTTGAGTTAGGACCCTAACTCGCTTAAAGAGTAAGTTCCCCTGTAAACGCTCAGCTAAAGGGACTTAAAATGTTTCTAACCAGTCAATTGGTGTAAGTTTTCTCTTGGCTACAAAAAGGATTTGTCCCTCACTTTCTATTAAAAAAAAAAGTATCCATGGATTGGGAAAAACTGGGAAACACTTTCATTTACAGTTTAAGGATGAGTAAAACAGTAAGTTCATGCTGGCTTTGTTTTTTTTCTGGGGTGTTTTAGACTCACAGAGGGCACCTGTCCATACTTCTTCTCCCAGGGATTGATCCTCTTTGTCTGCAGCTTCTCCAAAACTTCATGCAGCGCTCCGAGCTGAAAACCAGGCGTGCACAGTCAGCAGAATGGTCCCTGCAGGCCAGAGCCTCCCAGAAGTGTCAGCGAGCCTCAGAGAACGATAAAGGCAGCTGGACATCCTCTGTTTGCATCCCTAAAGTTTTTCCTTTCACCCTAAACCACATGGTGGTGGTGGTGAGGGCAGCTGGATGGCTGAAAACTCCTGGACGAGCAGGAAGGTGTCCAGCTGCCTTCACTCTTCAGTCTGAAATTCATCAGGACCTGGAGGACTTCAACATTTAAACCAGAAGTTGTTTAATAGAATTCTTTTAACTAATTTTATATCCAAATAAAAAAGACGATGTCAGGACATGATTAAATATGGTAAATATATATCTCAAAAGGTGCTTGTAACCTGACTTGCTTTTCTTTCAGAAAATGTTAAAGTTACTAAGTCCACTAATTGCTCTTTAATTTATATGGTTTTCATAATTAGCTGATTAATTAAACCAGAAGCAGAACAGTCAGATTAGGACAAATATGTTCATATTCTCCACATACAGTGCACTTATTTTTCTTTTCTACTTATTTTAATCAAAGAGCTTTTAATTCAGTCATTACATAAGTTCCTAAACAAAAACAAAAAAAACATGATATCATACAGTAAAAGACTGAAAGTTAAAAGAAAAAAGTTCACACAAAAATTATGAAAAGAATCCTGAATATTTAATGTTTTGAAACGTGTTATCTTTATTATCTTTGACGTTATTAAAGCAACCTGCAGAATTAAATGGGAAAAATACTATATTTTCTTTCAAATGTTCTTTCCGCATTAATTTATTTATTTCTTAATTCTTCATGTGATTTTCAAATAAATTGACCAGACAGAAGAATGACATGATAACCTCTTTTTGGCTTACTTTTTTATCACATATTCACATTCAAACTTAACCTTTTATTGTTATTACCGTTACTAATTTGGATGTTTTTAAGGTTCTGAACGTGCATACATTTTTATTCCTGTGAAATGAACCCGCACGGTGCGTGTTTCCGGACGGCTGGACTCACCAGTCTGTTGGAGTTGTAGGGGTAGTCCTGCACCTCGCGCTCGCCCCTCTCGGCTTCCGTCCTCCCGGCCGGACACAGCGCGGACAGCAGCGCACAGCACAGCACAGCACGCGCCCACATGTCGTCCCGAACAGCAACAAACAAACAAACAAACAAACAAACAAACAAACAAACAAGGAAACAACCTGGAATCAGCTGGGTGAAACTTGTCAGAGTCCGCCTTCACCTGGCTCGTGCTGAACGATGCGCGCGGGGTGCCCACGCGCACAGCTCCATGCCTCCACCTGGCCAGCCTCCGCGTGACGTCACGCGCGTGACGGAGAGGCTGACAGTGACCACTTTAGAATCAGACATTTAGTTTCTCTTATTCAAACCTTGTTAATCTCATCCTGAAGAAATCTGGAAAATAATGGAAGCATTTTAGTCAGAAATGATTATGATAATAACTCTCAGTAATGTTTATTTATAACTAATACTGCTCATTCAGAACAAAATACAAATATGTTGATGCAAAATTTAATAAAGATTTCACAGATTAAGTCCCATTGAAGACAATTTAAATCTAATTTACTGTATTTAATCTGATCAATTCCAGTTAATTTAATTACAAACTGGTCCAATTATTGCAGAGAAAACAAAAAAAGGGTTTGTAAAAGTTTATTTATGTTATTCCCTTAAACCTCCAACATATAAGATGAGAAGAGTGAAATCAAGCATCAAGTATCCAGAGGGAGGATTCAGTTTGTGACCATTAATGAGTAAAAATGACAAACACACGTCACGAAAAGCTCACACTTAGTGTAGGTAAAATCCACACTTTTCACCTGGCTGCTGATTAAACCTGATAAAGTTCCTGATAATGAAAATAAATAGATAGATAAGCAGCCCGTTGACAGATGAACTGAAGGTATTACTGACAGCTTAAAGCCAGAAAGTCAAAGCAGCCGATTGTGGAAATCCTGTTTCTGACGGCTGTTAACAAACAGGTTTCTGAGGGACGTGTCAGTCTGCTGGTGACTTCATGGCTCCCCCTCTGAAAATGCAGGAGACACAAAGTTTAACCTCCAGCTCCTAAAACATGTTTGTGAGCTCTGGGGGTCATTTCATCGTTTCTCATCTCACAGAATAACAGGATGGTTGTGTAGGAGCAGATCCTCAATCATCTTAAAGCTGAGGGCTTAAATAAAGGCAGTTGGACTTCTTCTTCTTCTGGGATCTTAAGAATGTTTTTCCTCTTATCCGAACAGCTTCCTCAGATCTAAACCAATCAGAGAGCTGGTGCAACCCAGACCCAGAACACCCCTCAAACTGAGCGCTTCACTTCATTCGACCTGTTGTGGAGCTTCTACATCAGTCAGACTGATAAAGAGCACAAGGTATAGTAAGATATTCAAAATATCTCCACCAATAAACGCCTGAGAAAGACAAGAGGCACTTAAAGAGTGAGGAGGTGAAAGGTCACAGAAGGCAGCAAGAAGTTCATGATAGTTTGAAATGTATCATCATTCACATTTGTAATGACAAGGTTAATAAAACGGTTGGTTTTCTGTTTATGGATCCAGTTTCCAGGTACCCAGCGTCGGCTCCCGGCTCAGTGAGTCCCCTCTTTGTTTTGGGGACTTAACGTTGTCATCACCAGAAGCTTCAGAAGTCTCTCTGTCGGCCTCGATCGGGTCGTTTCTGTCAGGAGCAGCAATTAAAAGATAGCTGGAGGTTATCATTGTTCCTCTCAGACTCTGAGCTGATGGAGCTTCCCTGAGAAGATGAGAGAAAAACAGTACAAATCTGATAGAGAGATTATGGTTATCGAGGCAGCTACAGAATGTCTCTCTCTGCTCATGGTTGCTTTGTTGGTACCAGAGCAGTTTAACGTCAGAGGGTCAAAACTTTTCTGAAACAGGTGAACACCAGAAGGTCAAATTTAAGCCACCTAAAAGGTCCCAAAAAGGCAGAACTTTCTGTTTTAAAGACACAAGTGTCAGGATACACAAACATCATTTTTTCCAGTGACCCACAAAAAACCTCAAATGAAACCAAAAATGAGGCTCAGATCTCTGGAACAGAAGTTAAGTCTCAAGAACTCAGAGTCCTGCTTGTTTTCCTCCAGAATGAGGCTTCATTTCCAGGAGATGAGCTCTGTCCCATCATCCAGTCAAGAATTCACACTTGCTGCTTTTTTCCTCCAGAATCAGATCTGATTTTTCCTTGAATTGCAGCAGATATTACAGAGAGAGAGAGAAGTGGAAACTTTTGTCCAGGAGCTGGAAACAGCTTCACTAAGAAGCAGAAACAACATTTGGGGGTGGTTTTGTGTTCAGAAAGGCTCAGTTTGACCTCAGAGAACAGAAAGGGGGCGGGATAGCGGTTAAATGGATAAATGTGTCTAACAATGAAAACAAATCTAAATTAGGTTTTTGCTTGGGGTGTTATCAGGTGCAAACAGACGAATAAAGTAAAGAAAAAGGTTTCGGAGCTCTGTTCTCACGTGTCTGCAGACTCCTTCAGACTGAGGCTCCACGTGGAAGCTGGATGAGTGTCCAGCTGTAAGTTCCCTCAGATGAACACTCCTCCTCTGACAGAGGGAGGGTTTGATGCCACGGCTCGGCTGGAGGTCCCAAACGAGAAGTCTGGGATCACCACAGGAAGCAGTCTGAGGCGAGGTGTGAGCGTCTTAAGCAAAAACCAGGAAGAGCTTAAACACAGCAAAGTTAAGAACCGCATGTTTTTAGAATTACATAACACTTTAAAGCTCTTAATGAGCAACAACATCTGAGAAGTGTGTCAGAATAAGTGATGAGGCAGCGAATCGGATGAAACACAGAGGCTCTGAGGCACTGGGAGCCTGTTTTTACAGTTTAAACAGTTTCATGAATGGTGGAGACGGGCTTGATTTAACTGAACTGAAAGTTCAGATAACTCCCATTTGTTGATTTAATTATGTATAGAGGAGAAAGCCACATTCACAATTCAGTTCAGAGGTAATTTTAAAGTAGTTTAAACATGCAAACAGTGGTGCAGTCCATGTGACTCTAACTCTCCTTGGTCATACTCCAAGGACAAGTCCAGCATCCTTTATCAAAGTTCTTAGGATTTGGAGCAGATTAGCATCTTTCAAACAAACACTTTAACCCAGAGCTGAGCGAGGAGGATTTAAGCCTCTGAATCCCTAAAATTTAGGAGGAGAAAACGTCCGTCCGTCCTGAGGAGACTTAAGCCCTCGCCTGAAGCCCCCGTCAGCCTGACAGGAGCCCCGGCAGCAGGCTTAAGGATGCTGATCCTGGATCAGACGCGGCCGGTAATTCCCTGTAACGTCCTCGGTGACGAGCAGAAAGTTGGTTTCTGTGATTATCTGTCCCGCCTTTCTTGTCGGCTCGGATCCAGCTCTCCGGCTCTTTGAAGCCCTTTGGAGCGGACCGGGAGGATCCAGGGGCTCATTACTGCGCTCTTCTGATTGTCAGCCTGATGAGGCGATGATGCTGATCAGCTTTGTCCTGACGGATCTGCAACTTTCAGCCGTTTCCTTCATCTTTAGACTCATTAAAGGCCGGCCCCGAAACAAACTCCTAATTCATCTGTTTATACGCACGATGATATCTAATGAATTCCTCTTTTTTGGAATTTTTAAATTAAGCATTTTAAAATAGAAGCAACTGAATAAAATAGTTGATCTTGGTTCAGATTGTCACTTAAATATTCTTTATTTTGTCAAGAGCTCATTGATCATTACTATAAAACAGCTCAGGAATAATCAAATCCCATCTTTCCTTGAGGAACACTGCTTTCTCTCCATTTATGTTCTTTATTAAAATGTGAAAAATTAACCCAAACATTTTAGTTACCAAGATGAAACACAAAATATAAAGTGAACGGGCGAATTAAAGTGACGATGTCTGCAGTAAAATGAAGAATCACGGCTTTAGAAACGTTTAATTTGCAGCTCTAATGGGTAGTTTTATGTCAGATTGAGCAGATGGGGACACAGCGCCATCTGCAGCCAGCTGTGCTGTCTGTAAAACGTCCAACAGTCCACATATCTGTGCAGCAGCTCACTCTGAACGACGTCCCGTCCCCTCCACTCTGAGCCAGAACCCACCCGGCGGCTCCAGGTCACCGGTGGAGGACTCAGCTCAGCTCCTCAGGGACATTTGCACGTCTAAATGAGCTCTTTTTGAAGTCACTTGACACATTCCTCTCTTCTCTCCTCTCGGCCGTGGGGCTGTAATTGGGGGGTGTGACGCCTCTTGGTGGCCCTCAGTCAGCCTGCAGCCTGCCGCAGTCTGTCCAACACCTCCTCTGGACTCAGGCTGCAGTCCACTCTGACCAGCTTGTCTCTGGATCTGGAGCCCTGAAGGACAAGCAGAACACACCATCAGGAAGAAGAACCCGGCACACGAAACTTTAGAGGTCAACAGCTGACCGAATATAGACGCATTCATTCTAGCCCAGGTGTGTCAAACTCCAGTCCTCGAGGGCCGCTGTCCTGCAGGTTTTAGAAGTTTCCCCGTTTCAACGCACCTGCTTCACACCATAGAACCATTGGCAGGCCTAAACATGAGCTAAACAAAGTCCAGAGGAGATCCAATTGAATCAGAATCAGGTGTGCGAGGCAGGAAAACGTCTAAAACCTGCAGGGCAGGTGACACCCCTGTTCTAGCCGATAAAAGTTTCATGATCACACACACACAAAGACATGACAAACTTTTAGGCAGGGACAGGTGAGCTGATGAGAAAAGGCAGGAGTGGCCCCTGGAGGCCCCTCAGGACACAGCACTGGCCACCCAGGACACAGGAGTGGCCACCGGGGGCCCCTCAGGACACACCCAACCAGGTTTTGTTCAACTGGGCTCTGGAGACGCACACATGAATGAGCTTTAGGGACCTTTTCCAGGGAGACGTGGGTCTTCTTCAGGTCCAGAACTTCTGCCAGGTACCGGATGAGCTCGGCGTTTGCTTCTCCGTCCGCCGGCGGCGCCGCGATGGACACGCCAACAGCCTCCGGGGAAACGTCTGGAAGAGCAGAGGATCTGAGTGGGTTTGGGTTGGAGCAGGGACCAATTGAATTCAATTCAATTCAATTTTTATTTATATAGCGCCACATCACAACAACAGTTGTCTCACAGCGCTTTCCAAAGAGAGCAGGTCAGACCCTACTCTGAAGTTAAGACCAGAGGGGCCAGGGGGGCCAGAGGGGAGACCCAGACCTGCGATGCCGCTGCGCTGGGACCCGGGCTTGGCCCGCACCGTGATGGTCAGCGCCCCGCTCTTGTCCCGGTTCACCGGGCCGGAGGTCTCGGTGGCGCCCCCTGCTGCCGCCGCCCGTCCCTTCACCTGCGGACAGACCCGTCCACGTAAATGCAGCATCAACTCTGAGGTATTTTCACGCATTTCATGTGAGAAATTATCATATTTTCTGGCTGTATTTTTTACAAGCTGGGAACACTGACCGCCTTCTCCTTTTTGGGCATTTGTCTGTTGCTGGAGAACCGTCTGCTTTGCTGGCTGGTTCCGGGCAGAGCGGGTTTGGACCCGGACAAAGCGGCCGAACCGCCACTGAGCTCCAGGAAAGACTCAGGTACCGTTTTACGATTTAAAGCCGAGACTTCAAACCTCTGGAAACACCTCAAAACACTAACGACCGCCGCGTTAGCCCGGCAAAACATCCGTCACCCGCCTGTTAGCGCGCTAGCTGCTAGCTTACATGTAAACAATGAGACTTCCGCTTTTCAAAGTAACAGTTTCCGGTTATCTTCATAATAAAATAACCCCCTCGATTTGAACCCCCCAAATGACAATTATGATAAATGTTGGAAAAGCAAAGCCTGGCGCTTTCAGGTGTGTGTTAACACAACGTGAACAAACCAAAGAGAGACTAAAAACACCATCAGAATCCATGACTTCCGCCTCTTGGTAAAATATCAATTCTGAGAAATGAATGAATGAAATGATTCATAATGGTTCATGCACATATATCCTCCCAAACTGAATGTTTCTGCCTCCAAACCAAACAGAAGTGACCTCTGCTCTGTCCTCTATGATGGGCAGGGCCCTTTGGTTAGAGGATGGACATGTTACTGGAGTATCCTCTCTCTTATCTAATGCCATGAGCCAAGTGGGGAAAGACTTTTAAAAAGCCGTGAACTGTCAGGTCGATGGCTGTTTACCATGCCATTAATCACAGATTAGATAAATGTGCCACTGAAGGGAAATAACTGGGCAGCAGTTGTGAAATATATCAAGCCGAACGATTAATTTAGTACAATACTTTTCTCTGTGTTTGACACCTTTGTTGTGCTTTAGGAGGAAGAATAATTCAAATGTGAAAAATTCAATGTGAAAAATGTCAATGTTTAGCTCAATTATCCCCAATTCCACAAAATGAACTAATTTAACCCACATGTACTCTACTGACACAAACCGAACACTCTTTATCTTTATTGACAGATTGGAAACCAAAGGGAGGGATAAATGTGAGAGCATATTGAACCCAGTCATATAATGTGAGTATTTTTATCTGTTTTACAGTCTCTTACCTGCAAAGGAAGTTAATTTGTCACTACTTCCTAGTTGTAAAGTTACCGAATATTGATTCAGAAACATCAACCGAAACCTGAAAGAATAAAATCGACAAGAAAACGCTAAGAGCTGCTGAGAGAGTTGATCATGACAATAATGTCACATGAACATGGAGAAGAGAGAGAGAGCAGATGGAGGAGAGGTGCATCATGGGAGCCCCGAGCAGAACTATGGGGTCACTGACTCAGGGTCACAGAGCATCTGTAACCATCAGCTTTATCAGAAAGGAAAGTCGATCTTAAGACAGACAGACAGACGGATGGATGGATCTGTAATATATTTGATATAACACAGCTGCTGTAAATCAATGGAAGTCGAGCTCTTCTGTGTTCCTGAGACAGGACAACATGCAAACTAATGATTAAACAGGCGTCTTCTCACACACACTCTTTCAATTTTCCTTTAATCTGATAATCAAAGGTGAAGACTTTTTTATCTTATTGATGGAGAGATAAAAGCAAGGCTGATCTTTCTTTCACAACCTGGTTTGATAAGACCTTTGTTGTTAAACTGTAAAGTCTTTATTGTCGGTTCTTCGTCACTCCCAAGGACACAAAGATGCAGTCTTTTGCGTTGTGTTTCCTGATTTACCGTTACTCCATGTGAGGCTGAACATCTTGTTCTGAACATGATTTCGACAATCTGCAGGTAGAGATAAACTCACGTGAGACTTGAACCTTTGAACTCCACTAACTTGCCCTGTAGCTGCTTTACAGAGCAGAAAATATTCATTATTCCACTTGTACGAAAAAGAAGAAAATGTCTTTTTTTTATATTAGAAATCTTTAAAAAAAATCAGTTCAAACTAAAACTTTTTCTGAGCTAAAGCCCAAACAGAGGCAGCTAAAGGCTCCTTTTCCTCTCAGACTCAGTTTAAACTTCATCTCTCTGCTCTTGATAGCAGCTTCCATTCCATTCTCCTTCCTGACAGTTTCTCTGGTTATTGAGCAATCAGAGTTGGACGTCTGCTGGCCTCAGAAATGGCTTCTCAGCAGCTCTGCTTCCCCTCCAGCCTTCTTCCCTCTTCTTCAGTTGCTTTGGAGACTTTCCCTGAGGACATTTGGTGTCTTTGCTGTATCTCGGAGAGCTTCCAGCATCAGGAGGAGCTCTAGTTCACACTCTGACCGTCAAAGCAGCTCTCAGGGAGCTTTTTCTGTGTTTCTGCTTTCTTTTTGCCAGACCTTTAGATTATTTTATGACCTTTTGTGAAGGTTTTATGAATGTTTGTTTTAATCCCTTTTGTGTTTTATGATAACTTCTACTGGATTGTGGTAATTCCACACCTCTTGGAGGTGATTATGTGTATCTTTGTGATGTTTTTTTGTTAGTTTTGTGTCAGTATTTCAACATTTTCAACCTTGTTTTCAGTCGACTCACTGAGCTTCTCTGAGAACATTTAACTACTAAAACGCTGTTTTATGTTCAGGAAACAAACAGAATCTGAAATCTTAAATAGAAACAATGATGTTCTTTACTATTTATTTATTTATTTATAAGTAAAACTGAATATTAGAAAATGCATTGATAACAATAATGCTTCTGTTTTAGTGTTAAACTTAATTTGGGCTGCAGAGCCTCTGCAGACTGGAGTTTTTACATTACAAACAAACCTCTCATTGGGGAGGGCGAGTGAGACAGCATTGGACAGAAAATAGAAACTTAATGTTCAAAGGTCTTTCATTTGACCCTGTAAAAGATCTTCTTCTCTCTCTGTCATAAAACACATTCCCATGTGAGCTCTGCACCTGTGCGGTCATTAATTTATTTTTTGTTTTCAACTGACTTGATTTGGCTCAGAGGAGCCTTCAGATGATCAATGTCTAAACAAAAAACCCCATTAAGGTTCACAGACTCAAAACTGAAGCTAAAGTTCTGCATCCAGACCCACTTATCAATTGATTGCAGAAGTTTGCCTCTAAATGCTTTTAATTTCACACTCTATTAGTTTTAAATGAGATTTAAATGTAAAAGATTGTTTGCTGACTTTCCCTCCTTTAGATGACATCACAGATCAGTAGTTTTAGCCCCACTTCACCTGTCATGAAGGAAACATCAGAGAAGAGACGTTACAGGTTAAAGGGTGAAAACTGATCCCGTCTTTTATAACCGCTCTGCCTGCAATTCATCATGACTCTGCTCTCCATCTGAAAACCATAAAACGACATCCACAGCAGGATTATGGAAAGATGCATCTGTTAAAGTCCAACAATGATATTACTCAGATTATAGACTCGCATAAACTATGAATAATTTACCTTTAGGTGCATAAAAGATTAAAACAGTCTTTTTTCTGTCGCTGTCGAAAGGGGAAAATTTAAATTAAACAAAAATATTATTTTAGAACAATTAAACTATAACCTAAGTTTAATTCCTTTTATCTTCTTAGATGTCTCTTAAATTAGGTTTTTCATTATCTCCAGTTTTAGACATTTAAACGAAAAATCTTAAACTCTCTAAAGAGAACAAATTTTAGCCAAAATCTAATTTTTGTTGACATCCATCCATTTTCTGAACCCAACTTGGTTCGCGGGGGGGCAGTAGCCTATCCCAGCATTCAATGGGTGAGAGGCACTCCCTGGGCGGTATCTTGTTTACACAAAATTAGTTTGAATTATTCAGATCAGACATCTTAATCAAGTCCTGGAGGTACTTTGGCCTTTTTCCGATCAGAAATGGAACAAATGATGTGTCTCTGTGACAGGCTGCTGTTAATAAAGAGCCCAAAGATCCACTTTTAGCTGCTGCTCTGCTGATTGGACACAGCGCTGGCTCAGCCCTTGAGTTATGGGCTGTTTTTTTCTGGCTGAATGACTCAGACTGAAATGTTTTTATACTACCACTGCTTGGCAAAAAAAACAACAAACAAGAAAATAATTCACATTGTTTTAGACTGTAGTTAAAAAATAGTTTTTAGTTTTAAAAATTAATGCTTTATAACTTCTGCCTATTCATTTGGTTCTTCTGAGACTATTTAATAATAATAATAATAATAATAATAATAATAATAATAATAATAATAATAATAATAATAATGATGATGATAATACACTACTACTACTACTACTACTACCACTAATAATAATATCAATGATAATGATAATGACCTGTGTAAATAGGTAAGAAGATAAATAAGCTTTAACTATCTTAAAGTCAGTGTTGGGAGGCGTTTCTCTGTAAATGTGTAACCAGTGAATGGGAGGAGAGGCCGCACGCCTACAAAAGCGGGCCGGCCCGCGGCCGTGCACGCAGTGTGTGACAGCAGGCAGGCGGGCACCATGGGGAAGGGCTTCTTCATCAGTAAAACCGTTGGGATCGTGGGGATCGTGGTGGGGGTGGCCGCCCTCTCCACCATCATCGCTCTGTCGGTCGTCTACTCTCAGGAAAAAGCCAAAAACAACGGCGATAATGGAGGTGTGTCGACCACATCCGGACCCACCACCGTCCCCGCCACCGTCCCCGCCACCACGCCGGCCCCCTCCAACGAGACCTGGGACCAGTACCGGCTGCCCAAGAGTCTGGTGCCGGACCACTACAACGTGACCCTGTGGCCACGGCTGACGCCTGATCCCACTACCGGCCTCTACATCTTCACTGGTAAGGCTTCCTGGGTCGAAGCATCCTTCTCTGGAACCAGGGTCCCTAAACGGTCCAGATCCTGCTTCCTTACCCACAACCAGCTGGAGTTTGGCTCTCAGAGGAAAGGCTGAGATCTCAGCACCCACAGACAGCCACCATCCTATGATGTTCACATGATTATCATAAAAGCATCGAGCCATCAGGCCAGTTTGAGTTTAGACGGGTGAGCCTCAGCAATAATATATTTGATAATTAAGTACTAGAAGAACTCAAAATAAATCAGAACATATCTGGTCAAATGGTTCAAACTTCAAACTAAACTATGATTTTCTGCTTCTTTCCTCCAGAATCAGTTCTGATTTTCACTAAATGAGCTCTATTAGAGCAGATATTATAGAGGGAAGTGGAAATATGTGCTAACATACCGGAAACAGCTTCACTGAGAGGCAGAAATTGAAACATTCGAAACATTTGGAGATAATTTAATAACTTAAACTGATTTTAATGGAATCCTGAAGACAGAGGATTTATGGTAAATGTAAAGACAAAAGAAGAGTTACGCTGTGTTTGCTCAAATAATGAAGATAAATAATTCTCCCTTTAGGTGTCATTGAAGCCTGGAAAGGCGTTTAAACATGTAGAAACGACTCCTCTGTTCAAATAACCAAGCTGTTAAGTAACGATAAATATCCTAAATGATTAACCAGAGTAAGAGCCATGAGCTGCTGGTGGAAAAGCTCTTCAAAGCTGTCTTTGTGGTTATGAAACTGTAAATAAATCTGGTGATGATGCTGTGAATAAATGAGTCCTATATATAAAAAAAGAGCAGCCAGAGTAAAAAGTATTAGTTGTATATGTTAATTTTCAGGTTGAATTGGAATAAAGTCTGAAATATTGTAGTTTTTTTCTTTTAAAAGGAAACGGACAAATATCTAGCTTTTGAATTAGAATTAGTTTTATATTCTAATGGTATATCCACCTTATAATTAATTTAAAGTTGTTTTTAAATGATTTTACGACCAGGTTTTCATTTGAAGAGCAAATACCTTATTTCATAGTTCAGGGAAACATAATGTCTTACTGCAGTTTAAATAAACTTTAAATCTTTAATCTTGTAGATGCTCATAGAGGCTCATTTCAAGGATTTATGGGGGATAATACTATATAAGATAACAGAATAATATAGTTATTTATTTATACTTCATTTAAATGAGTGAAATTAAATAATTTGAAGTAATCCAGCAACACAAAGATTCCCAAAAATAAGAAATAAGTGTAAAACTGACTCAAACAGGAAACAAAAGTCTGAATTAGCTTTTAATGTTCAATATTTTTGATAATGTGACATGATGGACGCTGTTTTTCCTGTTTTCCTCTGATATCTTGAGCTTTAACTGAAGCTCTGAAGTCCACTCCAGGCAGAATAAATGGCCCCTCTGTCTCGCCGTTAAACATTAAAGGATTTGCCGCTCGAACATCTTCGGGACTTTGACTCTTTTACATAAAAACCTGTTTGACTGAACAGACTCAGACTGGGTGATTTTTCTTTGTGTTTCAGGGGAGTCCAGCGTCCGCTTCCAGTGTGTGGAGGACACCAACCTGATCCTGATCCACTCCAACAGGCTGAACTACACCCGGCTGGAGAACGGCCACTGGGCCATGCTCACCGCCGTCAGCGGGGCGGCGGCCCCCCCCGTCTCGTCTTCCTGGGTCCAACACGTCACTCAGTACCTGGTTGTGCAGCTCAATGGGAATCTGGTGAGGGGCCAGTGGTACCACCTCTACACCAAGTTCACCGGAGAGCTGGCTGACGACCTGGGAGGCTTCTACAGGAGCGAGTACATGGAGGACGGGGTCAAAAAGTCAGTACGACTCCCTTTAGAAATGCTAAAATGCTTTATTTCCCTTAACCATCCTGTCATCTGTTTCCTCAGCAGCTGAGTTCCAGCTCTGCTGTTTAAACTCTGACATAAACCTGTGATCACACATCAACATCTGAGCCTCTGATCTAAACTAGAGTCCAGAGAACTCAGAGTTCTGCTGGTTTTCCTCCAGAAAAAGGCTTCATTAACTGGAAATGAGCTCAGTTCAAGCATCCAGAAATGAAGGAAAATTTGTGCTGATGTGCTGAAAGCAGTCGACTAAAAGCTGGAACTCAGAGCTGTGGATCATTTTTGACTTCCTGCTTTAGAAAACAGCCACTTTGAGCTGGAGGTCAACAGCTGGACTGTTTGCTGCCATTCAAAGCCCTGAAATGCTTCGGATCAGCATCCTGATCAGCTCTGACAGCTGCAGGTTTTCCATCCAGCTGTTTGACTTCAGAGGACAGAAGGGGAGGGGCAGGAAATGGGGGGGGAATAGGATCATAACGCATAGAATTATTAAAACTGCCACCAACAGAGGGCAGTGTTTTACCAGTTCTGTACATATAAATACAGTAACTATATGCCCCGAGCCATCCATCCTGTTGACATGCTCTGATAGTTGTGTTTTCAGCATTATTGGACTCTAAGACAAAAAGCCTCCATTATTTCTATTTCAAATTAAATGAAAAATGATAGAGTTTGCATTCCAGCTCCTTAATCAGCTCAACTAAATCCAATAAGGAAAATAAAACAGAGGTCAACTGTCTCCTTGCTCCTCTACACGGGTCCTGGAGGGTTCAACACATCTGACTTAGATCAGATGGATCTGTGTGATGGATGTCTTGGTTCAGGCCTGAGGATGGTAACAGCCGCTGTGTTTTCTTGCAGGGTCGTCGCCACCACCCAGATGCAGCCGACCGACGCCAGGAAGGCCTTCCCCTGCTTCGACGAGCCGGCCATGAAGGCCTATTTCTACATCACTCTCCTCCACGCCCACGGGACGGTGGCTCTGTCCAACGGCAAGGATATCGGTGAGTTTGAGAGCAGCCAAGCCCCATCAGGACTCTCTGTGGGAATTAAGGGGTTAAAAGAAGAGGGTGATGAGTGTGCCGCTGGTCCAGATTCTTTCTGCTCCGGCGTTTGGATGACCAGAGGGGAAAAAAGTAAAGAGATAAGGAACAACAAAAGGCATTTGTATGTTTTTTAGAAACAACTAACGTCACAATGGACGGCCAAAGCGTGCAGAGGACAGTGTTCGAGCGCACAGAGAAGATGTCCACCTACCTGCTGGCCTTCATCGTCAGCGACTTCGCTTTCATCGGCAGCACCACCGATGGAGTTTTGGTAACTGGATCTAGTTTGTATTACAGGTCAAAGTTTCTGCTGAGAATCAAAAATAAAATGGACTTACTGTTGACCTGAAGCCAAAAAGATGAACCACGGAGAGGAAAATCTGTTTGTTAGTATGCAGAGAAATACTCAGAAATACCCAGAAATAGACCTGAATGGGGCTTTGGATGTTAAATTAGGAGGTTTTATCGGCCGTGAATGTTGTCTAATGAACGTGAATCTGTGAAACAATTGAATGTATTTTGTGTGTTTAGATTCGCATCTTTGCCCGTCGACCTGCTATTGCTGCTGGCCAGGGAGCCTACGCCCTGAACAAGACCGGCCCCATCCTGAAATTCTTTGAGGAGTACTACAACTCCAGTTACCCTCTGCCCAAGTCTGGTGAGTCCCAAGCAAACCTTTCTACTCCAGGAATAAGCTTGATCGGTTTGAACATCTTTTTTAAGGTGCCTAAAATTAAGTCGGCCCAGCCCTGATGAATTTCGGGCGAGGACCAGAACCCTGAGTTCGGTTTGGGATTTATTGTCCTAAAACCAGAAACCATCTACCAGCTGCATGAATCAGTGTTAAAGGCTCGTTTTAAATTCTCAGATTAAATTATGTCACTATCTCAGGATCCAATCAGAGCTGCAGACTCAGTAAACATTGATGTTAAAGCAGCCAGTCACCGAAAATGATGGAGCTCTCCTCTGAAGCCTCACAGTTTTAAAGGCTCCAGATGAAGTCCTCCAGAGAAACAGTTAGTCAGCAACCAGGCTGACACCCAGAGAGACAGAAAGTCCAGAGACACACAGTCCAAAAAGATGCAAAGTCCATGCTGAGGCTGCAGTTTGAGAGCAGAGGAGCAGGTTTTACAGACTCTGATGCAAACTGCTTTTGTATTGCACATCCCAGGTGCAATGCAATCCAAAGGGCTTTACACAAAACATGAAACTTTACAGCACAATAAACATTTAACTACAATCACAAAAACTTTAAAGGGATACAATAAATTCACCGACAACATAAAAAGCTCAAATAGATCAAAACGCATCAGATAAATGTAACACTAAGGAATTTACAGCTGATGTGATCAAAGGAAGCAGCTATTTGATTTTACAGCTTCTGCAGGCCTACAAATTAAAGTCAGTAGTCAACAGTGGGAGGAAAAATGTCCAGGATCACCAAATGTGTCCGCACTGCTTCTGGAGGAGGGAATTCTTTTTGTTTCCAAACCAAATAGCTCAGGGAGGCACGAAGCCTAAACTGGCTACAAAGAGGGCCAATGCGATCAAAAAGATGAAACAACACTAAAAAGGCACAAAATGACTATGAGGAGAAGCACTAAAATGAAACAACGTGCAGGGAACAGGGCAGAAAAGGAGAGAATGTGGTCATAAAGGGCCAAAAGTCAGCAATCGAAATCTGACCCTGCTAAGCGCCGCTATCATCCTGTTTGTCAGACTTTCCCTCTCCCACAGCCATCATCACTTCTCGCTCTCGGCTTTATTACCATCATCTGCGATTGTTACAGGAAGCCTCTGAAATGATTTACCTTTATGGCTCAGTGTCAGCCTTTTTCCGAGTAATGAAAACGCTATCGTCTGATAAGGCCGGTCATCATCGGGGAATTGATGCGGCTAAACACATCCAAATGGTTTTATTTCTGCTGACATCTCAGTCTGAACACGAGCAGCTCAGGATCATTTTAAACATGTCGTATAGATAAGATTGCTGTTGGCTTTTCTTGACAGGATGATTTCATGTGAATCAGTTTAAAATCCTCTGGAATCAGCTGCTGGTTACAAACCATCAAAATGAATCAAAGTTGGATTTTTCTCCTCCTCTGTTCTGCAACGATAATCCCCCCCAAAAAACACACATCATTGGTTTTAATGCAAAATTCCGTTTTTCCCATCTATTAATTTATCATGAAATCAATGGATCAGAAATGTTGACCTTTTCATTCCACTCTGGTTTAAAAACACTCTGGTCTGACAAATTAGAAACAGAGAGAATTAGCTCCATGTATCTTATTCTTTTAACATTTTAAAAATCAAAAGGAAGGTTTTTGTCCCAGTTTTAATGTTTCATTTTCTAAATATGTTTATGAATAGTCCTTGTGTTGGCTTTAAGAACTCCTTAATTAAAAAGGAAATGAAAACTTTTGAGAAATAATTTTGGCTTGCTAAACTTTAAAATGTCCCATCCGGACATGTTCAGAGAGCCAAATGGAAAATTTGATCCGTTTGGAGTTTTGTGATCCACGTGATTCTGCTCTTGACTTGTATGGGGAGTGTGGCCAGTATCTGTGACCTTGTCCTGAGATAGTGGCTCTCTCTGTTCCTCCACCATAAACCTGCTTATCAGATTTCACAGGTCCATTTGTTAAATGTGCCTAAACTGTGAAAACATCAGCGTCAGAGGCCATAAAAGGCAGTTATTTTACAGACCTGTCACACAGCACAGCCTCTCACAGCTCCAACATTTCCCCGTTTAGGACTCAGTAAAAACGTCAGCCGGTTCAGAAAATGAGGCCAAAGCAAATTCAGACGATCGACAACACAAAACATGTAACTTTATTTATGGGAAAAGCTCCTTAAAGTGTTACACTTTGAAGGAAAGCAGATGAAAAGATGCTTTCCCCTCCCTGCTGCCACAGATCAGATCGCTCTCCCTGACTTTAACGCTGGAGCCATGGAGAACTGGGGCCTGATCACCTACAGAGAGACCGCGCTGCTGTACGACGAGAGCTTCTCCTCCAACTCCAACAAGGAGAGGATCGCCACCATCATCGCTCACGAGCTGGCCCACATGGTGAGTGGAGCTCAGCAGAGCCCGGTTTCAGCCTCAGCTCCGCTCCTTGATCTGGCTTTCTGCCTTTGTGGGAGCCCCTTGCAACAGGGAAGAACTCCCAGGTCTGAAGCTCCTCTTTGGGCCTTTTAGACATTTTCCTGCTTGATTCTGTCTGAGTGGATCAGGAGTGATGACGCAGGAAAACCTCTAAAACCTGCAGGACAGATTCAGATCTGTGAACGCACCATTCTGTATTACCTTTAAGGGACCATGCACCATCTCAATCTGAGCAATGCAAGCAGGAAAACTGGGCGAAAAATGATAAATCAGATGCATCTTTTGAAAGAATACTTTTTTAAAAAAGAACACAAATTTTCAAGCGACTTGAATCCCTAATTATCAACAAATGATAAAAACACAGAAAAACTGATAATTTAAACCAATCAGAGACTGTCAAAAATGCAACGCAGAAGGCTAGAGTTTAGCTTTTAGATGACATTTGAGGCTATTCGTGTCAAAGACCACAGACCCTGTAAAGACCATACAAATAAACAGATCTGTGTGCACAAAAGATGCATCCACAGAAATGAGACTCTTTTATTTAAGTGGTTCGTGAGAATTTATCGTAAAAGATTAATCAATGTTTGCCAAATAATAGAAACTGGAATGGCAAAGTGAGAGCGACACAGACATTAGACTTAACAAGAGGATGGAAATGTTATGTGAGGATGTTATTCCTTATGAGAGAAAGCCTTTAAGTTTGCCTGTTAGGCTGTTAAATCTCCACATTTCCTGGTCAGAAGGCCTTCAGACCTGACCAAAAGCCTCTAATGCTCCATGTCTCTGGCCCTCTCAGTGGTTTGGAAACCTGGTGACTCTCCGGTGGTGGAACGACCTGTGGCTGAACGAGGGCTTTGCTTCATACGTGGAGTACCTGGGAGCCAACGAGGCCGAGCCCACCTGGAACGTGGTAAGGCCCCCCCCCTCGGCCTCAGCCCCCCTCACAGGCGGCTGCAGGAGCTCTGAGCCCTCCGTGTCTTTGTGCCATGGCAGAAAGACCTCATCGTGCTCAACGACCTGCACAGGGTGTTTGCCATCGACGCCCTGGCCTCCTCCCACCCGCTGTCCTCCAGAGAGGAGGACATCCAGAGGCCCGCGCAGATCAGCGAGCTGTTCGACGCCATCTCATACAGCAAAGTGAGCCCTCACAGAGGAATGAGCTATTATGAGCATCCAGTCAAACCCCCGACTCTGCTCTAAAGGGGCCGTTTAGCCTCTGATCCAAACTAGAGTCCAGAGAATTCAGAGTTCTGCTGGTTTTCCTCCAGAATGAGGCGTCATTTCATGGAAATGAGCTCTGTTCCAGCAGCTGATGCAGCTTAAACAGCTCAGGAACACTTTTCTAACAAATCAGAGCAGTGATTTCAGAGTGAGAGCTGAGTCCCTCTGAGTTCTGTCTCATTTTTAAGCCTCCGGCTGTCTCTGTTTCTGTAGCAGCTGAGTCCTAGCTGTGTTTTCTGCCTCTGTGGGTCTGAAAAGCAGCTGGATGCTTCCTGCTCTGCTGTTTAAACTCTGACATAAACCTGTCTGAGATCACACATCAACATCTGAGCCTCTGATCCAAACTAGAGTCCAGAGAACTCAGAGATCTGCTGGTTTTCCTCCAGAATGAGGCTTCATTTCCTGGAAATGAGCTCTGTTCCAGTAGCTGTTTATATACAAACAAAAATCTATAACAGGGGCAAGTTTAAAAAAGATTACTATAAATTTTAATTCTCCATCTTGGGAGGTCCAAACCAGAACATGAACTCGCATTTAGAGCATAAAATGAGCCTAAAAACATGTTGGCATGAAATTTTGGATGATTTTTGTCCTTTTTTTCTTAGTTTGATGCCATTATATTTAAATAAGAAGGTGTGGATATCATGAGGGGTAAAATAGAGAGTAAACAGCTGGTGATGCTGGGCCTGCTTTGACTGTGTCTTCCCTCCTCTTCAGGGAGCGTCAGTCCTCAGGATGCTGTCCGACTTTCTGACGGAGGAGGTGTTCAGGATGGGACTCAGGGTGAGGACCGACCACACGAACAGACGCGGTTACTCCTCTGTGCCTTTATTTGCACGTTTTGGTCAGGAATCATGACTGAGCAGTCAGAGAAACTTTCTCTCATCATAACGAGGTTTCATAGTTCTATTTAAGTTTCTGCAGAGTTCAGAATACTCTGCTAAAATAGTTTTCTGCCCGGCTTCACTTCTACTTCCAGCTCTCAAAAACATGCAAACATACAACAGATGATTTCCAACCAACATAGCTCTGAATTTATGGTCATATCTGTCCATCTGTGCCCCCCCCCCCCCAATCTGGAAGGTTTACCACACATGTTTTTTATGCAGTTCACAGTTTTCCAACTGCAAACTAAATATTCTTTATATATTTGTGGCAAATTCTGTCAAAGACCACAGACCATCATGACTGATAATAAGGGTAGTTTCATATTAAGAAATGTTACAGAATTTTACATCATGAGTTCCTTTTTAAAAAAAATATAAATAAAGATGAGAGAAATCTCTCCATTTATCTTCAATATTCTCTTTTTATTATGCTTTTCTCGGCTTAATGAAACCGTACTTTCAGTTGTTTTGGTTTCATATCATAGAAAACACCTGTGAGAGTCACAGATGAGATCAGCCCAGCTGCCTGGTTGTGACCACCTGTGCGTTTTCTGTCCTGCAGACGTACCTGAACGAGTTTGCTCTGGCAAACGCCAACTACACCGACCTGTGGAAGCACCTGGAAATGGCACGTCCTCCTCACACAAACCCGTTCTGCACCCTATCTCTCTTCTCACTGCATGCGTAGCTCAGAGTTCAGGTCGTTTCCTGTCGCTCTAAGCCGGCCCACACGGGCCCAGAGGGGGGTCTATTGGCCCTTTAACTCACCTGAGCTCAGGAGTCAGCCCCGTCTCAGCTCTGCTTCTCACTGAACCTGCTCTAGGCTGTCGCCGCCAGTGGCACCAACCTTCCCACGAGCGTCACCAACATCATGAACACCTGGGTGCTGCAGATGGGCTTCCCGGTGGTCACCATCAACACCGCCACCGGCGCCGTCTCCCAGCAGCACTTCCTGCTGGACCCGGACTCTGAAGTCACCGCTCCGTCCCCTTACGAGTATTTAACTCCACTTTTTAAAGCATTTTTCAGCTCCTAAAGACCCAGTGTCGAGCGTTTATCGATGTAATGTGACCCACATGTTTCTGATGCAGCTACAAGTGGATCGTTCCAATCAAATGGATAAAGACGGGAACGGTCCAGGATCCCGTGTGGCTGCAGGCTGAATCAGGTGCGCCACAACCAGCAGAGGAGGAAGTCATTAAGTCGCCTTTAAAAAAACAGCCATTTGGCAGTTTTACATAGTCAGCAATTAGACTTATTTAAGCAGAAAAAAGGTCCCTAACTCAAGGGCTGAGCCAGCGCTGTGTCCAATTAGCAGAGCAGCAGCTTAAAGTGGATCTTTAGGCTGTTTGTCAGCAGCAGCCTGTCACAGAGAAACATCATTTGTTCCATTTCTGTAGCTGATGGGGAAAAAGCCCAAAGAAAACACAGTTTAACAGACAGGAAACAGGATTTTTGCAGAAAAGTGTTTATTAATTGACTGTTGTCGAGGAGGTACACCTGTATATATTCTACTTTGGATAAAAGCCTCAGCTAAATGCATAAACAGTTTAGTAAAACTGATAATAATGCTCCATCTATTGACAGAAAGTGCTGTCAGGAGCTACTTTTTCCAAAGAAAACAGAGGATTTTTGGTTGAAAATGCTGGACAGGAATGGACACTTTGTGAATAATGTCACTAACCAGCTCTGAGTTTCTTCTGCAGCCACGGTTGGAGCGATGAGGGCAACGGGCAGCGAATGGGTGCTGGCCAACACCGACGTGGTCGGTTACTACCGGGTCAACTACGACCAGGCCAACTGGGATAAGCTGCTGAATGCTCTGATGACCAACCACCAGGTAGGACGTCTGCTGAAGCTGAATCGGTCTGAGCAGAAATGCCCCATCTGACACGTTGCTTTTGCTGTTTAAGGCCATCCGAGTGATCAACAGGGCTCAGCTGGTGGACGACGCCTTCAATCTGGCCAGGTGAGTCTCTCTGATGACCAGCTGAGGGCCTGCAGATTAATTTCTGCTGAATTAAATTAAATCAGAACATTTTCCATACCTGAAGTCACAGTATTTTGGGTATACAGTCTCAGATAACGTTCCCCAGCATTCCAACAGCAAACCTGATGATGGAAAATGGATTTAGTACAACTCCCTTTGTGTTCAAACCCCTTTTTGAGTAACTTTGGGGCATCAGAACACATAAAATAAACACACAAACAAATGTTTTACTCATATTTTACCAGGTTTCTCAGTTTTTTAAACAAATCTACAAAAATGGAGCTAGGTAAATATTACACAACAGTAAACGTTCTTTTTTCCTTTTCTTAAACTTTTATGTTTTTTTGTTGTTGTTGTTACTTAATAATTTAAAAACAGCTAAACAGATTTTTTTGAAAATAATTGTATTGTTTTACAAAAATTTATTTTTAAAATAGATTTTTGTTTATGCTTACATCGTTGCCTTTGCTGAATGGCAATAATAAAAAAAGGAGGGTGAGAAATAAACAGATATTAAACTAGATAAATAAATTCAAGAATCTGGTTGAAAAATGAGTAGAATTCCTTTGTTTTTTTCTCGGTGATTTATCTTCTCTACTCTGCTTGAGTCTGACTCCTACTCCTGTTCTTGCTTCCCAAAGAGCGCGGATCATCTCCACCAGCATGGCCCTCAGCACCACCAAGTACCTGCACAACGAGAGGGAGTTCATGCCCTGGGAGTCGGCCATCGACAACCTGGACTTCTTCTACCTCATGTTCGACCGCAGCGAGGTGTATGGACCCATGCAGGTGCCGGCTGCCGCCCCGAGCCCACAGCCACCGGCCGGGTTCTGCTGCCATGGCAACTCATCTCTGCTTTGGGCTTTCAGGATTATCTGAGGAAGCAGGTCACCCCTCTGTTCCAGCACTTTAAGACCCTGACAGGAAACTGGACCAATGTGCCCCAGGGACACATGGACCAGTGAGTAAAGATTTAATCTATCTATCTATCTATCTATCTATCTATCTATCTATCTATCTATCTATCTGTCTCTGCTGGCCTGCAGTGCCCCCTGCTGGCCGCCGGGTAAACTACCTGTGTGGGTCATATCTGGGATAAAACAGTTACTTTCTGTTTTTATCATGAAGGCCACAGCGTCATGTTCCCTCTGTTTCCTTTTCAACTGCTACTCCCAATCAGCCGAGACACCGACGGATGAAGGACAAACAAACTGGTTTTGTTAGTTTTTTTTTAGGAGTGAAACAGACGTCATCATTCTATTTAATTCTGTTAAATCATTGGACCTCTTTTGAGCAACCGTTTGAGTTAAGCATTTGCTGAATTTCACATCCTTTATTTTTACTTTCCATCTTTGTCTCACCTCATCTCTTTTTATATTTTTAAAATTATTACTACTTTAATTAATTTTTTATACAATAAAATTGAATATTCATTTTCAAATTTACATATTTATTATGTGATATTATTTCCAGATGTATTATTATTATTATTATTATTATTATTATTATTATTATTATTATTATTATTATTATTATTATTATTATTATTATTATTACTGATTTCTTTCTCCCATCTCTGATTCTATAGTTTAGTATATAGTATAAACTTCAGGTTATAGATGCTTTCAGTTGAAGCCACTCACCTGAATTTGGGGTTTGATTTGTAAAGGTGCTCTTTGGAGAAAAAAAGGATTTTGTGAAGCCGTCGGCCTGAGCTCAGAGCCAGTGAGCATAAAGTGACCTTTGACCCCGCAGGTACAACCAGGTGAACGCCATCAGCGTGGCCTGCAGGACCGGCCTGGAGGAGTGCCAGACCCTGGTCAGGACCTGGTTCCGACAGTGGATGGACACCGGAGTCAACAGGTGAGTG